GTTATACTACATATAAAATAGGCTTCTAAATCAAGCTTAGTCTGGTTTAAGTTCGCTTAAAGTTGTGACAAAGTTTCATCCTCATTTATTGGAGTCCGACACCGTTTGCTGCATCTTTAAATTGAATAGCCCCGTGGATATATTTGAAATGCAACAAACTAACATAGCTATCGTTATACCCCTGGGTACTATTCAAGAATTAACCCACTTGGGTGGTGAATACGTAATACCCGATACCTGGGTCTTAATCAGGGAGATTGGTTTCAATATGCAGTGACAAACGGTATATCTGATATATCTGATATGCTTTCGATTACGTACGTACGTACGTGTTGCTGATTAGCATTTAGGGGCTTAAATTCAGTAAAATGTTTTTTTTTTTTTTTTTTTGCGACACATACATTACGACAAATTTTGTCGATTCTACTTGAACAGTCACATTCTGATTGGACGAATAATTCGAATGCGATTTTTTTTTCAAACTTTGAGAGAGGATATCTCGACAACCAACTATTTAAATGATTTTTTTTAAAAAATGGTTTATCTTAATCATGCATTCATATAGAATCGAAATAAAAAAAGTTTCATCAATTTTAGAGAGGTGGTTATCGAGTTATCTTCGATCAAAAGTTTGAAAAAAAACTTTGCCGCAGCTGATTTGATAATTATCTTAATTTTTGAGCAAAAATATCTCGACAACCACTACCTAAAATTAATAAAATTTTTCATTTTAATTATATAAGCATATAAAATCGGAATAAAAAAAATCATCGATTTTAGATAGGTGATTGTCGAAACAAAGTTTGTGAAAAACTTTGCCGCAAATTTTTTGATAGTTTTTTTTTCCTAAACTTTGAGCGAAAATATTTCGATAAACACCTATTTAAAATTAATAAAATTTTTTTATTCTTTTTTAATTATAAACGTAATAAAAAAAATTTTCAATGATTTTAGATAGGTGGTTGTCGAATATCTTCGTCCAAAGATTGGTCAAAACTTTGCCGCAACTCTTGATAGTAATCTAGGTTTTTATCTAAAATAGATAAAAAAAGATTTTTATTTGGAATAAAAAAAAATTTTCATTGATTTTAGGTACATAGGTGATTGTCGAGTTATCTTCCTCTCAAAGTTTGGAAAAAACTGTTTTGAATAATTATCCAAGTTTTTGGCGAAAATTCGACAACCATCTATCTAAAATTAATAAAAAAATTTTTTTTTTAATATAAAACCAGAATAAACAATTTTTCATCAATTTTAGATAGGTGGTTGTCGAGTATCTTCGTTCAAAGCTTGGAAAAAACTGCCGCAACACCTGTTTTGATTAAAATTTGAGAGAAAATATCTCGATAACCACCTATCTAAAATAGATAAAAGTTTTTTTTTTATTTTAATTATACAGGCATATAGAATCAGATTAAACCAATTTTCGATAGAAAAAACTTAGATAATTATCAAAACAGAAGCTGCGGCAAAGTTTTTTCTAAACTTTGTCCAAAGATATCTCGACAAATACCTATCTAAAATTGATGACAAATTTTTTTATTTCAATTCTATATGAATGTATAAT